GTGCGTACGCCAGTTTTATAAATCCGACCCCAGAGCTGTAATTAACTTAGATGTTTTGTGTTCAACTTGGACTAAAGACAAAATGTCACGTTCCCCGTCTCACKGCTAACAAACAATAAMYGAGCTCTACCTGGTATTTCCTGCAYAGAAACAGCGCTTTWCTCTTATAAACACTGAAAAGTACTTTGCGTACGATGGACTAACTGTGAAATAAATAATACAGAAWTACCATTAAAAGTAAAAGTAAGAGAATTTTACTCCAACTTTCCGACAGGGAATTCTTACTGGAGGCGTGTTCCAGTTTAAATTTACAAGTTGTAAGTGGGAAATTCCCACTTCTCAGTACAACTCAACCGAAGGCTGCAGTAAAAGTAGCTAGCAAAAATGCAGTGAAATCAAGATTTTACACRGTGAGATTCACCGGCTACTGGCTACTTTTTTTTTAACCCTGTGCAGCCCTTGGTGGTGGGATGCCGTTATGTTGCGGGTAAAATAATTGACATTTACTAATTCAGCTTTCCATGTGAAATTGTTCTGCTATTTTAGACAGTTTTTTGCAGATGGGTGAACATCTGCCCATCTTTACCTCTGAGAGGATGAATCTCTCAGAGGTAAAGATGGGCAGAGGTTCACCCATCTTTACCTCTGAGAGGATGAATCTCTCAGAGGTAAAGATGGGTGAACCTCTGCCCATCTTTACCTCTGAGAGATTCATCCTCTCTAAAATACTCTTTTTATACCCTGTCCTCAATCTGACCTTTTGCTAATAAACTTGATTAGTTACAAAAGGTTTCTTCTTTGTGCCACATACTTTTACAGTCTTTTGTCGACCCTGTTCAAACTTTCTAAAAATCAAAAAGAAAACTTGGACAATCTTAGTTTAAACACTTGATAAGTTTATTGTGAACTGTATTATGGGTTTATGAGATGAGACTCGTTTTTATTTACATTTTATATAATGTCTCAACTTCTTCTGTACTCTATTAGAGAAATTATTTCATTTCAAGCCACTGAAGTATGACTATGTCTCCTAACGTCATCCTGACCAGTTCTAACACACAGTGGGATAAAAAGGAAGGACAACAGTAACTCTGAGAGTAAACATGAACTTGTATATAGCTGAAAACTGTGAGCTTGTCTCAAAACAGAGGCATCACTTAAGTGTATAAAGAGCTGAGTGCTCACATCAGCGATCCTCCTGATCAACACTAACAAGATTACAGCAGCTTAGAGCAGCATTAATACAGGACAAAATCAATCCTGCTCTCGTCTGCTTCTGTCAGGGTCACATGGAACTGAACACGCTTCATGAGCACAGACGTCCATCAAATTCATGATTCATCTCACCAAAGTTTAGCTTTTTTTCTTCTCTTAAATCCAGGCCTTTCCACGTCTCTGTCATTACTGTTCACTTCCAACAACCTGAGACACTCAAGTGTTCTTTACTTCACCTCTTCTATGTAAAACACAAACCAGACATGATTTCTGCAGAACTTGAAGAGCTGCTGAAGAGCAGGAAAACATYTAGAACCTGCAGGATGGTGGCTCTCGAGGACCACAATTGGACACCACTCAAACTTGGACATTTTGTTGTAAAAAATATGGGATTTTTTAAATATATGTATTATTAACCTAATTAGGCAGGCGGATGATAGTGTTTATGCCTCCGTAAGTGTGTGTGTGGGCTTGTCTGAAAATATCTGGGAAAAAAAGAGAAACTTTCTTTGAAATGAGTGACAAATACAGGAAATATCTGAAACTGAGTGAAACTGTTTTATTACCAGGGCTGAGTTATAAAGTTATAAACTCTTTCTCATGATCAGGACATTTCTGAATAGAAAACTTTCTGTCAGAAACACTGATCCATGTGGCTTCAGCAGCTTTATGACATGAACCAGAACAGCCGTGACCTATGAAAAATGTTTGCCAGTAGCTCAGCTCATTACAGGATTATTGTAGCAGGAAATTGACCAAACTCCTGCCAGAACTAACCACAGATAAACCAAATTTAGCACAAAGTGAGAAAATTTATGTTTGATAGATTATTTATTTGCTGTAACAATGCTGCTTGGCAATTTTTGTTGTGCTCATATTTAGACGTCCTATTTTGCAAATGCTGCCTTCTTGAAATTTGGTATGCTTGTTTGTCTTTGTGTCTATGGTGTATAATGATGTGATTGTGATGCTGTATTTCTGAGTGTTTTATGT